ATGAATAATAGATAGATCAAGTTTTCCTTCTTTTTTTTTTCTGTACCTTGCAAGTAAAAGCTTTGAAACATTGTTATATTTGTACAATTGAAGTACTTTTGCAACTTTTTTCTTCCAATGTATAATGATGTATACATTCAATATTATGGGTGTAATTTCAGTAGTAACTGGAAGATTATTGTGATAGCTGATTAGATATAGCCAATTTTTAAAGAAAATATTATTTGGCTTATTTTTTCCATGGACATTTTCCCACCAAATTAGAGTATTTGCATTGGAAAATGTATGGTCGAAGCTCAAATGTATCCTGTGCAAATTATCATTTTCTAAGTACAGTATTCCTTCGCCTAAACATTTCCCAATGAAAAAACTTCTGGAAAAGCCATGGTTTCAATTTGCAGGGGATTTGGGGCGTGTATCCTGCTCTCCATTTAGCTAAGTCTGGAATTTATTAATGGACATTATATAATGTTATTGTACCTTGTAATTTTGAGGTGACTAAAGTAATTAGACCATGGTCCAATCTTTTGACTTTCTTGGGCCACATTGGGTGAAGAGGAATTGTCTTGAGCCGCATATCAAATAAATAATACACTTACTGTATATAAATAACCTTTATTTTTTAATATTTTTATTATCTTATGGGGCCACAGTACTAGCAGTCAAGGACCGCATCTGGCCTATGGATCATGGGTTGAGCATGCCTGGGTTAGATTATGATGAAAACCTTGGCATGAAAACAGAAGCGTACTTTTTCTTTCAAATATCCCGTAATAGTTTGTATTCTTCTTCATATTAAGCATTATTTCAAATGGGACTTTCGTATTTCAAATGGGACTTTTGATGAATATATTGGAAGAGTGACTGGTTTTTTTAATATTTTTTCTGTTATTTGTTTATTCTGCTAGTTTTATGGATAGTTTAATTTGAAACGTACCCCACAACACAGGTCCCCAGTCCCTGATCTGTGTACTGCACTGGTCCATGGCATGCCAGAAACCAAGCCATGCAAACAAGCGAAGCCCCATCTGCAGGATCTAGGCAGCATGCGAAACCATGTCCCTCCAGGCCACAGAAATACCTCTCTCCACAGAACTAGTCCCCGGTGCCCAAAAAGTTGGGGGCTGCTGCCCTATAAGATGTATAGAAAGCAAAATATAAATTCTTACTGCCTAGCACAGTTGTATGAAAGGCATATACTTAGTTAAGCTAAACTGATCTCCATATTTCTCTTTTCAGTCTTTTCATTTGCTGATATGCGCCTGGTGTTGATTAAATAAAACCTTTTTCAAGATTATATCTATTTTATTGGATATTTATGCAGAAATAATAGCCACACACAAGAGGTAATAGATGTCTGCATTTCTTGAAAATTGATTTTTATATTTTGTTCCTTAAAACTTCCTTCTCTCATCTGCTACATTGCAGACATTTTTTCACAGTTCCATTCTATCTGGGTTCACGAACACTAAAGTCACAGATAGGTTTAAGATAAAAGTGTGGTATGTTGTATTGTTGTTAAGCTTATGGACATAGTTTGCAAAGGCATGAAACTTAGCATAAAATTTAAATAATTAATTATATGTATGTCCTGGCTCACTGTAGATGAGTGAGTGAGTTTGTAAAATCTTCAGCACTTTTTTCTTAATTGGTGATGTTGGATTAAAAACTACCCTTTCTGTAGCAGGAAGCATTTCTAACCACCAACTTGCTATGTTTTTATCAACCCATCCTATTATTCATGTGCACATATAAAATGAAAGAAAGATGTTTAAGGTTGAAAGATCCTGCAAAACAGAGTTCAGCATGTGCTGGGTGTGGCATTTGAGCATGCAAATTGTACTTTTGTTAGTGCGGTGCCATTATTAGATACAGGCTAAAATAGAATATTAGCAATTGCCATCATGAGGTAGGAGATATCTGTTAGCTCTTCCTCCTAGCAATATCCTTCATATAGTAGTTAAATACATAGAGTCTAGACTTTTACAAAATACGATAGTAATTCTGCTGGAGCAGATCAGAGACCTACCATTTCACAGTATATTTTCCCAGTGGCCATTCAGATGCTTATCAGAAACCTGCAAGCAGGGGTAATGGTAGTGAGACTATCTGCCAGTTGCACATCAACAACTGATTAACTGCTGAACAGCGTGGTATGGATCTATGGACTTCTCACACTTTTGAAAGTTGTTATATAAATATTAGGATAAGTTTTGAAATAATGTAACAATGAGAAAAAACAATTCTACTTTTGTAACAGTGCTTTAAACAGGTTTTATTTCACTTTTTTATTTTATTTCTTTATTTGATTTGTCAATCGCTTTCAAGATAATAGATATAAGTATAAACATGAGTAAGAATACAGGAAATAGGTATGAATAAATGGGGACAATAGGACAGGGATGGTAGGCACGATGGTGCACTTATGCACGCCCCTTACAGACCTCTTAGGAATGGGGTGAGGTCAATACTGGTTAGTTTGAGGTTAAAGGAGTGGGGGTTAGAAGATGTAACAACAGAGTCAGGTAGTGCATTCCAGGCATTGAGCACTCTGTTGCTGAAGTTGTACTTTTTGCAATCAAGTTTGAAGCAGTTTACATTGAGTTTGTATCTGTTGTATGCTCTTGTATTGCTGTGGTTGAAGCTGAAGTAGTCATTGACTGGTAGGACATTGTAGCAGATAATTTTGTGTGCTATGCTTAAGTCTAACCGTAGGCAGCGTAGTTCAAGGTTGTCCAAGCCCAAAATCTCAAGCCTGGTGATATAGGGTATCCTGTTGCAAGCAGAGGAGTGTAGTACTCTTCTTGTGAAATACTTCTGGACTCGCTCGATTGTATTAATGTCTGATATGCAGTGCAGATTCCAGACTGATGAGCTGTCTTTGAGTATTGGTGTGGCAAAACTTTTGTATGCTCTGGTTAGCAATTCGATATTTCCGGAGGAGAAGCTTCGTAAGATTAGATTTACAACTCTTAATGCCTTTTTGGCAATGCTGTCACAGTGAGCTCTGGCACTTAGGTCATTTGATGGGAAAACTCCAAGGCCCTTGACAGAGTGAGTATCAACAACGAGGTCATAGCCACCTAGTTTGCATTTGGTGTACTAATTTTTTTTGCCAATGTGTAGGACAGAGCATTTGTTGGTCAAGATTTGGAGTTGCCAGATGTTTGACCATTCAGACACATAATCAAGGTCGCTTTGAAGGATAGTAGCATTGTCAGTGGTGTTGAATAGTTTTATGTCATCCGCAAAGAGGACACAGTTGCTTATAAGGTGATCACAAAGGTCATTTATATAGAGTTTAAAGAGTGTGGATCCTAGAACGCTGCCTTGGGAGACACCGCTGTTAACTGGAGCAGGGTTTGATATAGCATTCCCTATTTTTACTGTTTGTTGCCTGTTTGACAAGAATGCGGTAATCTACTTATGGAGGGATCCAGAAATGCCATAAGAGTTTAGTTTTAACAATAGTTTGTCGTGTACCACTGAATCAAAGACCTTGCAGAAGTCTATGTAAATTGCATGTATAACTTTACCCTGGTCAAGTAGAGTAGTTCATATGTTTTTGCAGTGTAGGAGTTGTAGATTGCAGGATAATTTTTTCCTGAAACCAAATTGTTTTTTGGAGAGTAGGTTGTTTGACTCTAAGTGGAGAGTGATGAATTGGTTAATGATTGATTCCATGACTTTGCACATGACACAACACAGTGAGATTGGTCTGTAGTTTTCAACCAGGCTAGGATCAAGTTTTTTGAAGATAGGGATGACCATAGCTAAGGACCATAGGTTTGGTAAGGAGCTGGTTCTGAACAGTATCTCATATATAATGCTTAGGGGTTCCGCTATGGGAAAGGAGACCTTTTTTAAGAAGTATGCACATAATCCATTGGGGCCAATAGATAGGGATGGTTTTAGGTTTCGTGGTGCCTTTTCTACATTATCTTCTGTAAAGTCAATATGTAGTAGGTCATTACAGTTCATTGTGGTACAAATAGGAAATGTGGGGCATGAACCATTGCTGTTTACAAAGACTGAACGGAAGAATGTGTTGAAGAGATTGGCCTTAACAGCTTCATTGTTGCAGTCTTTCCCATTTGGTCCTTTTAGGGGTGGAATGGTTCTTGGTTCGATCAAATTACTTATATACTTTACATACAATTTACTGTATTAACTGGAGAGAAAAACAAATCACAGTAATGTATTATACATTTAAAAGATTAAAATTTTGAAAATATTAGCACAATTGGCATTTTAAAAGTCAAGAAATTGCACACTCCCTATAGATTGTGAATACTGATTACTCCTTCCTTTTGTGGCCTTTGAAAAACTTACTGCAGCGATTACAGAATTGTCTGGAATTTCAAAAATTTACAACTCTTTCTATATTTTTTCCTGTCATGGGAGAATAATTCTTAATCCATCCCTATCTCAGGAGTATTCAAAACATGCCTATATGGTAGACCATTACTTTTACTCCCCATTTGGGAAAGAATATTGCTGCCAAGAGAATGTACAATATATAGTTGAGTTGAATGAATTTTCAAAATTCAGCTTCTCACCCAGATTACAGTTTTTTCTAACTAGATTAGTGATCAGTTCTGGTTATGATTTCTTTTTGAAATGCTAGGCAGTGGTCTTTCCCTTTCTGCAAAGATTACTTTTTGAAATAGATTATATCTTGAACTTCAATTTTGGAATATACGTTTTCTATTCCACTGTATCATGGCTTATACCAAAAGATCTTACCTTAGATCACTTGGTAAGTATGTTGCTGAAATGAGGTTTGGATCAAGAACATTTCAACTTATGTTCTAATTAAACATTTTTCAGCAACCTTTCACAGTGTTTGTGACTATACTTTGTGCATGATATATATAACAACCAATAATGTCTTCCCCTGTATGTGAATTTAGAAAACGGGTGATTCTAATATAAAATTTTATGGTCAACATTCAATTTTAATTGTATTTTCTTTTCTTTCTCTTTCCATTTGTCCTCAGTTCCACCTGGAGTGATACAAAATGGAGCTCGCATTCTGAGTAGAGGAATTTTCCCAGGAGTTAGACCACTGCCAATAAATCCTATTGGAAATATGGCTGCAGCAGTAAGGTAAGAATTCTCAAGTGCAAGATCAGTAGCACTTAGTTGTGCAATGGACTCCGTTGGATCTCCTCTGTATCATGTCCCCAAGATTATGCTCCCTGTGAAAGCCAAGAAAACCAAGAATCTTCAAATAAAAACTCTCAAAGGGCTCCAATACATTTTCAATTGATCTAGTAAATTTGGAGACATATAAATGTAACTCAGACTCTTCAATTTATTTTCAGGTGAGACCAGGAGAAGATATTTCTCTGTGACTTTAAACATCAGAATCAACATTCAGATTCATACACAATATTCACATACAAATCTGTTCAACCTGTTCATATTTGTCATAGCATGTATAAGATGCTATCCTTCCATCAGTAATAGCATTTAATATTTGGTAAATTATTAAATGGAAATCTGGATTTTAAATGTTTAAAAGGTGTATTGGATTATAATTCTTTATAGTTATTGGACTATAATTTATGTTTGTTCCTATTTGCCTATTTTAACATTTCAGTACCTACAATCAAATCTTCTTTAGATCATACAGTCCCATGATCTATGTTGACTGCAACATTATTTAAGTACAAATGACTTCTCTGGTTGCAGCATGTGAAAATACAGAATTTATATTTTAACTGATATTGAAATTCTCCTAGAATATACTGTATATATTTCTAATGCATTGCATTTTGCAGTTGTAACCTGCTTAAGCCATTTATAGTCTGTTCCTTTTGCACACAGTATTTGAATGAATGAATTAGGTAGCCAGTTTTTGTAACCATTTTATATTTGGGTGTCCAAATCAAGGTACAATAGAACGAGAATTGTTTTGATAATGTCCATTACTCAAAAATACCAAAACCAAAAGAAATTCATCACTTAACATGAAACATAATAGAGATTATGCCATCCTGTTGTCTTTTAATCTTTTACCTACCTAAATAGATCTTTTGTTACAGACTAATCTATAAATGGAAGTATAGAATTTCAATGTGTGAATTATCATCATCTAGCACTAAAGTTACCAAATGGAACATAGTACTTTCATAGTAACTCTTAATTTTATTCATACTTCTTTTTATCATTTGCCACCAACACTTTTTTCCTTCAGTTTCTTTTTTAGAAAGACAAATTACTTCCTTAACTGGAAAATCAATACTAGGAATGACTTCAAAAGAGTTACTGTCCTGCAGCCTTAAGACTTTGTGACATCCCTACATCTCCTGTTTTTAAACATCTGAACGTCCTCTCTGTCCACATGCAGCACAGATTCATGTTACTCTGAGATAGGAAACACATGGAAATTGTATTAAAGGCCCTAAAATAACAGATTGCAGTATAACATTGTAAAACCCTCCCCAACTCCTCCCAATCCTGATGTGATCACATATATAACATTTCCCCTCTCATTCTGAAGCTCTCAGCCCCAACGGTAAATATACAGAGAGACCAGAGAGTTGTTTCATCGTCATCATCCCGCTTTAAAGCAAAGTGAAGCAACCTACAACGGAAAAGTCACGTGGAGCCCTCATGCAGATACAGATACAGATAATCAAAGTTGGAAGGGACCTTGTAGGTCATCTAGTCCAACTCCCCCGCCCAAGTGGGAGACCCTACACTATTTCTGACAAATGGCAGTCCAATCTCTTCTTGAAAGTCTCAAGTGATGGCACTCCCACAACTTCCAAGGGCGAGCTGTTCCATTGATTGATTGTTCTCACTGTCAGAAATTTTCTCCTTATTTCCAGGTTAAATCTCTCCTGGTTCATTTTCCATCCATTATTCCTTGTCTGACCTACAGGCGCTTTAGAAAATAGCTTGACCTCTTCCTCCCTGTGGCAGCCCCTCAAATATTGGAAGACTGCTATCATGTCTCAATGGTCCTTCTCTTTACTAGACTAGCCAAGCCCAGTTCCTTCAACCGTCCGTTGTATGTTTTAGCCTCCAGTCCCCTAATCATCCTGGTTGCTCTTCTCTGTACTTTTTCTAGAGTCTCAACATCTTTTTTATAATGTGGTGACCAATACTAGATGCAGTACTCTAGGTGTGGTCTTACTAAGTCTTTATAGAGTGGTATTAGTACTTCCCTTGATCTTGACTGTATCCCTCTGTTAATACAACTTAGGATTGCATTAACTTTTTTGGCGGCTGCTGCACACTGCTGGCTCATAATTAGCTGATTGTCCACTAAGACTCCAAGATCCCTCTCACATTTACTGCTGTTGAGCCTGGTTTCACCCAGTCTATACGTGTACTTTTGGTTTTTCTTGCCTAAGTGTAGGACTTTACTTTTCTCTATATTGAATTTCATTTTATTAGATATAGCCCAGTGGTCTAGTCTGTCAAGATCCATCTGGATCTTGAGCCTATCTTCTTGGTTTTTAGCTATTCCTGCCAGCTTAGTATCATCTGCAAATTTGGTAAGTTCCCCTTCTATTCCCTCATCTAAGTCGTTAATGAAGATATTGAAGAGTACTGGGCCTAAGACTGAGCCTTGTGGCACCCCACTGCTTACTTCCCTCCATATAGACTTCGACCCATTAAGGACTACTCGTTGAGTACAGTTTGTCAGCCAGTTGCAAGTCCATTTAATGGTGGTGCTATCTATTCCACTTTTTTCTAGCTTACTAAGAAGTAGGTTGTGGTCTACTTTATCGAATGCCTTGCTGAAATCTAAATATATTATGTCCACAGTATTTTGCTGGTCTACTGATTTAGTCACTGTTGAAGAATGAAATAAGATTGGTTTGGCATGATCTGTTTTTAATAAACCTGTGCTGACTGCTAGTTATTACTTTACGTGTTTCTAGATGTTGGCAGATCTGTTTTTTTAATATCTTTTCCAGTATCTTCCCAGGTATTGATGTTAGGCTGATTGGTCTATAGTTTCCTGGGTCTGTTTTTCTTCTCCTTTTTTGAAGATGGGAACCACATCAGCTCTTTTCCAGTCCTCTGGTAGTTCCCCGGTACTCCAGGATTTTTGAAAGATATGGTGCAGTAGTTCTGAGATGACCTCTGCCAGCTCCTTTAAAACTCTGGGATGTAATCCATCAGGCCCCGATGATTTGTGTTCATCAAGATCAGACAGGTGTTCTCTTACTACTTTTTTGCTTATTTTAACTTTTATTTCTGGTCTGACTTTTACAGCTATGTTTTTGGTGGGTTGAGTTATAGTTTCTTTTTGCGTGAAGACAGATGGAAAGAATGAGTTAAGCAGTTCTGCTTTCTCTCTGTTGCCTGTTACTTCCTTGCCATCTTCTCTCTTTAGTGGAACGACTGTTTCCTTGATTTTTTGCTTGTTATTTATATGTTGGAAGAAACTTTTTTTATTATCTTTGACTTTTGTTGCAAGTCTTTGTTTGTTCTGAGCCTTTGCTATTCTGACTTCGTCTTTGCAGATTCTGGCTATCTGCTGATATTCTGCCTTAGTTGTATGTCCTTCTTTCCATTTTTTGTACTTGTCCTTTTTTTCTTTCAATTTGCCAAAGAGATCTTTCTGTATCCATGCTGGTTTCTTCTTGGATTTCTTGTTTTTCTTTCTCAGTGGTATTGTGCTGGTCTGGACTTCTATGATCATACTTTTTAGAGTTTCCCAAGATTCTTGAGTTGTTTTCCCCTTTAGGATTTTCATCCATGGAATCTTTCCCAAGTTCTCTCGGAGTTTATTGAAATCCGCTCTTTTAAAATCCAAGACTCTGGTGTCATTATGTTCTGTTGCTTGTATTTGTGTTATGTTGAATTCTAGTATGACATGGTCACTCTCACCCAAGGTTCCTGCAGTTTCAATTCCTTCTATCACTTCTTCTCTGTTTGTAAGAATTAAGTCCAGTATGGCTGTCCCTCTAGTTTCACCCTCTACCTTTTGGACAACAAAGTTGTCAGCTAGGTTGGTAAGGAACTTATTTGATTTCTGCCTTGGTGGAAAATTAGTTTTCCAATTGATATCAGGATAATTGAAGTCTCCCATTACTATAGTTGTGTGTTTCCTACATATGTTTGTTAGTTGGCTGGCAAAAAGGATATCTATTTTTTTCTGCTTGATTGGGTGGCCTATAATATACGCCTATGGCCATGTCATTCTTTTTTTCTTTTATATCGACCCATATGCATTCTAGGAGGTTTTCATCTTTGGTTTCATGCATTTCTGTAGCAATATAGCAGTCCTTTACATACAGTGCAACTCCACCTCTTCTTTTATGGACTCTTTTTTTTTTTTGAATAGTTTGTATCCTTCTATCAGTATGTTCCAGTCATGGGTTTCATCCCACTAAGTTTCTGTTATTCCAACTATATCATATTTACTTTCATGTATTCATAGTTCGAGTTCACCCTGTTTGTTCCCCAGACTTTGCGCATTTGTATATAGGCACTTGATATCTTTATGTCTGACACTGTGTTTACTCCTACATAACCTGTGTTGTGCCTGCCTGTCCCTACTTTCTTGCCACCTGTTTGATTAGTGCACTCACTATTAAATGCTTGGTTTTGGTTGGCATCAAGGTTGATAATCTTACCTGCACAAACATCTATTTTGCACGCACTGGTATCCTTATTAGTTTTAGATTGCTGGGGACAGAAAATTCTGAATCCATTAATTCTCTGTCCCCGCTGTTCAGTTTAAATGTTTACCCAGGAAATCTGTGAATTTAATGCCAAGTAACTCAGTCCCTTTCTTTGATGGATGCAAACCATCTCTTTTGCACAGTTTTTCATTGGACTAGCTGCAGACATCATGACTAATAAAACCAAAGCCTTCCCTTTTACACCACTCCTTTAGCCACAAACGGAGCTATTTAGAATGCTATTTAGAATCAAAACTTGGAAGGAACAATTTAGTTTATTGAGTCAAATTCCCTGCTCTTTGGAACTACCAAAGCATTCTTGAAAGATGGTTGCCCACCTAAGTTTGAACATGGTATATCCAGTTACCATGTGAAAATGAAATTGTGTAGCTCAGGTTGATGTGGGAGGTCCCTGGTGCTCTCTGAGCTTGCTCGTTTTCTTGCAGACTTTTCATT